CAATTATAATTTGGATTAGCTTTGTTGGCTATTAATAAACCAAAAATAGATTGTTTTGGATAGAGAGTTTGGGAAATAAAATTGATATTCCACTACAAAGTCTTCCTTCTAAAATTACAAGTCACTTGATATCAAAGTACTTTCCTCACTCGTGAATGGTGCAAACCAAATCCACCTATAGAACAATGAGAGAACCTCTATTAGAGTTGAGAGTTTATCGCAAACTAGTAAGAAAGGCAACCAACCCAATAGCCGGGGATGAGGAGGTTCCAATGACACCAAGGATCGAATCATGGACCTAACCTATAAGTCGATACTTAGTTATGAGCAAGTTATTGCCTTATAGTTTATATATCATATTTTAAAAGTGTCACAAATTAACTATTATTTACATTAATCACATTTTTTAAATCAAAAAGTTAAAATTTATTGGTGAGAAAGTACAATAATGGAGTGCTACCCTATCATCGCCCTAGCTTGTTATTTGCCAAAATGAAATTTGAAGAATATATCTATGGCAATATTCGTCTCTTACTCCTACATTGTTTTTCAAATGTTCCTTGTCATGATTTTAGGTGTTTACGGTAACTTTTTCTAGACGAGTAAGACCTATGGAGGTGCATGACTATATGGCCAAAGGAAAGTCTCAATTGTTCAACACGTCAAGGATATAAATAGCATAAAACAAAATTTTTGGTACATATGAGAGAAAAGAAAGTAATAGCTTTTAGAGAACTATTCTAAAATAATATATTTGAAAAAAACCTCATAAACTTGATAAAGAGGAGTGATCAAGCCGTAGGATCATGCATCATATAGAGGTGCGGAATAAAATAAAAAAATTTCTCCATTTAAGGCTCCTAAGATTAAGCCGTTAAATCAAATAATCATACATACATGAATGAAAGTATGAGTAAAGGATTACCTCTTGTACTGTAGATTTAGCCTTTACGGAAAATAAGTTGTCCAAGTGTCCGGTCTCTATCGATAATCCACACAGTCTAAACACCCACATAAGAAGCACTCAAAAGTTATAGAGTGCTAACTCCATCATTTTCTAACTTGTTTAATATTTTCTCTTTAGAAAATATTTAGGGATATTTTACGACAATCCTAATTAAGAGGGAGAGAGTTGGCATGTTTTTGGAAGGAGAAAACTATTTTCTCTCTTTTTCCTTTTATGCCATGTATGCATAACGAATCTACTCTCTTTGTCGCACCTCTCCTTCTATTTATAAGAAAAATAACTTTCTTATCCTCCAAGGATAAGGAAGTGGTGGCAACAAGTCCAAAAAAGATTCGAGGTTGTCACTTCCTAGTCCTCCAAGGACAAAAAAGTGGTGGCAACAAGTCCAAAAAAGATTCCGGGTTGGCACTTCCTAGTCCTCCAAGGACTAAGAGTTGCAATGTATGTGGATTTTTTGATCTCATCCTTATAAACTTTGATCCTCATCCAATAAGGTTCAAGTTTATCCTTTCATTAAAATATCTTACGAGCTTTTAAATTAAACCTATTGGTCCAAACTCTTTTGGCCTAATTAATTACTAATTAATTTAGACTACCTAAATAAATTAGGTTAGATATTTTTAGGAGGCCCATAAGGAAGTAATTTTTCAAATTACCCTAAACTTAAATTAGGAAACTAATTTCCTTTTTAGGTAACGTACTTCTAAATTTTGAACTAACTTTCAACTTAGGAAATTGATTTCTAAAATAGAAAACTTTTGATTTTTGAAAACTTTGCATTTTAGAAAAAAATTTCTAAAACAAAAAACTTTCAAAATTAGAAAATTTTTCCAAAATCTTTGTTTCACCTTTATTATGTGAATGCTTAAACTTATACATGTGACTCAATAAGCTCCTATATATATTAACAATGTATCAAGAATAAAAGACACCTTTTTTTTATCTTTTGATACATAAATCAAGATTGACCTCTAGCAAAGCATCATAACTATCCAATTCTCTATGAGGATTAATTAATCTATAATTATCTTTCATGAGCATGATTACAATATAATTCAATCTTCATGTCAATTTATCACGAGTGTGATTTTGAACTTGGTTACTAGTTTGTTCGATTATGATCACACAAGTTTTCTTTGATTCCCGGATGTCTTAGCTCTTAGAGTAAACCCACTATGCTATATTGGTATACTCCTACTATGACCATAAATTCCTTAAGTAGACATTTATTGAAGTGCAACGTGATAACTCTTTTAGCTTACAAGGAATGACATGTCCTATCTTAATAATTTACCTATCTCCATTAGAATCCTAGTGCACCCAATAAATCATCCATGTGTAATCCTTTACTAAGTCCATCAAAACGATTGTCAAAGTATATAAATGCTCTAATGAGATAATCATGATGACTTCAAATCAAAGAACCAATTACATTAATCTCATATAAGATTTCTATAGACTAAACCAAATGGGTTCTCATAACGAATCAAGTCCAGGTGATATGTTCTCTAACAATAATCACCTAAGTACTTGTTTTGGCATCAACATACCAATAGGTGTGAAATCTCTTACTTGCCATTATATAGCATGAGCATTATGCTCATAAGTCTTATTATAAATAATCAATATACATCTTGATAATGCTACGACTTGGAGATATTTAATAATAACATTCAAATATATTAATGTTTGTCTCATATCTTTCGATTAATTATTAATGCAATGCATATCATATGGACTTTTATTTAATTCTTTTCATAAACATAAGCAATAAGAATCAATAGAAAAACTTCTTTTATAAATAAAATAAAGAATGTAATATTAAAATAAGTTAAACCTATCCAAACATGGTTGGATCCTACACTAACTATAATATAAACATGATACATATCCCTTAGGTTATATATCCTTGAGGTTAGAGCCTAATTTAACTAGTTAATATGTACATTTGTTCCTTTTTTTAAATGCATGGGAGACTTTAAATTGTTATAGTTTGGCGAGACCATCCTTGATATCGAAATGAGAGAAAAGTGAGTGGCAATCATTCACATTAGTGTTCATAAATTTGACTACTTCGAACTATCGGCTTCAACCTTTAACTTAAAACATCATAACTAAATAGTTAGTTCAATTCATTTCTTAATAGCCTTCAACTCGGCATCTAAGCAAACCCAATATGTATTGAAAAACTAAAAATCCATCTACAATGATCATAACCGAGTATCTCTCCTACTCTAGCATCCCCTATAGTACTCAAAACATTACCATCGGTATTAAGTTTCCACCATAAAATTTGAGGATAGCTCTAAAAAAATAGGTTACTAGAAGTTGATGAAGAACTATGATTAAAATCAGCTACAAAAGCTTGAATGTAATCAAAGTATAATCGTTGGAATTTTTTGATTTGAATGTGCTTCGCAAAATCAAAAAGCCTTCAATCACTAAAAGAGTTTATTTTAGGAATATCCAAATTATAATCCCCCTATTTATCATGTAGAATTATTAGGTTATGTACGGATATAGTAGTTAGCTCAATAATCGGGATAGTTGACCCTAAACTTAAGTTACAATTCTTATAGATCTTATTCTCGTTGTAATCTATTTAAATCATATACCTACGTAATATCAAAACACATAATAAATTTATCTCATTCTAAATTTATCCATGTTATCAAAGCCGGGTTTCTAACCTATTTCTTATTTTTGTAGTCATGTTGATTGATTTCATAATTCGTGATAAGGATGGTTTGGTGTTCATTGTGAATATGTGAAATATCGCAATTGATAGTAAATCTCTGTTCTACTTGACTCCTTCGGATCACCTAGGCTTAATTTTTGTCACACGGTCTTTAAGTGAATATGGACAAAATTACTTCACATGGAGAAGTAATTTCTTAATGCTCTCCAATCCAAGAATAAGGCGGGATTCGTGGATGTATTGATACATAAACTCAATGTTAATTATATAGATTTTCACTCTTGGGTTCAATGCAATATGGTAATAAAATCATGGCTTATTAACTCTATTTCTAAGGATTTACAGATTGGATCAACTCATACCGACAATGCTAGAGAAATTTATAGTGATTTTAAAGAAAGGTTTACCCAAGGAATTGCACCTAGAGTATATGATTTGAAATGCCAAATTGCCCTTTTATAATAATAATAATCTACCAACTATATGTATCATGGAAAATTAAAAAATATATGGAGTGAATTGAAAAATCTCAAAGCCATACCTGTTTGCACTCGTGGAGTTACAAAGAAGATGGAGGAGATATGTGAGGAGGAAATGGTATTTGATTTTTTAATAGGCTCGATGATGCCTATAAAACTGTCATATCTCAAATTTTAAATGTAGGGCCATTATTAAAACTTGGAAGGGTTTATGCCTTAGCCGATCAAGATAAAAGATAACGCCACATTGTTGCTTTACTTACACCAATTCTTGAGGCAATCATTCTTCGACAAGACATCACTCGATTAAAAATAGATATTATGAGCAAGGGAAGTGATGACTCTCTATTATAACCATTGTAACCATAGCAACTATACAAGGGAGACTTGTTATGCCTTGATTGGTTACCCACCAAGAAGGAGAAAACAAAGTCAAGGCATGATGGGCTATGACAACAATAGACAACACCATCGGGAACTTTTGTAAGGACTATTACTCGTAACGACAATAGGTGAGGCACTAAATAACTCTCCTAATTTTAGTTTTAAAGAGTATACCAAATCAGTAGTAGGACCAACCTATCACTAAGCCTATAATCCCTTTACACATGCGGATAGCCTATCGGTAGCAGTAGCCTATCACTTAGGTTTTCTTTCCGAGTGTACGTGTATTTAGCCCTTATACGAGCAAGAACCCATCATTTAGCCTTTTCCTCTTATGCATGTGCATCTAGTTTTTAATAATAGCAGACCCATCATATCGGCTTTCCTTCGATGGCCTAAGGGTCGGTAATCTTCACTCCAGCCCAACTAGAATAGGCGAGTCGGCCTTATAGGACAACGAGTCCAGCCTTCAATGGCGAGCCCATCAACCAGTATGGCCACACAAAATCTCTCCTATAAACCGGACTCACGAGTCATTAACTGCGAGGCCACATACCATATAACACATAACACCGATTCTATGCTTGATGTTCAAATTCCTAATAAAGATCGCTTCTCGTACGAGCTTTGGGTCAAGTCAAACTTGGCCATGATTTAACTCTTGAAAAAGTTTTGAGAGTCCTTTATTTTTTTTAATTTACTATCACTCAATAAATTAACTCGAGATCTTAATTGTGTTTTAATTTTTAAATTTGAATATTATGTGATACGGGACTTACACCTAAGGAAACTAATTAGAGTGTGTAAAGTGCATAATTATTTATAATGAAGGTAGAGAAGGTCTGCTATGGTTAAAGGGTTACGAGTATAGTAGGCTTATGGCATCATTGTTTGGGACACATATCGATGAATCGAGTACCATTGATTCCATAATAACCTATTATATTTAATTCCTTTAAGAGTTTTTTTTTTTGTGATGCTTGTTGTAGGACAAAATAGACTAGATTGCCCTTCCTTACACACATAAACAAATACAAGAACAATTTTGATTTAGTGCATTGTGACATATGGCCATATCACATTCTAGTTCACATTATTTTCTAACTATTGTTAATCATCACAATCATGCCATTTGGGTGTTTCTTATGAAGCACAAATCGAAACCAGGTGTTATCTTTTATTATTTTTTAATTAGGCTCATACACGGTTCAATGTCCAAATAAAAAATTTTCAAATTGATAATGGGCTTGAATTTGATCACTCAAATTTGATGGTTTATTATTTTAAGAATGGCATGGTCAAGCACACAAGTTGTATAGATACTCCACAACAGAATGGCATAACGGAGCGTAAACATTGACATCTCTTAAAAGTGGCTAGAGCATTGCGTTTTCAAGCAAATTTGCTAATTAAATTTTAAGGAGAATGCATTTTGATGGTAGCATATCTCATTAATCGTATGCCACTCTCTCGCTTTAAAAAAAAGACTCCTTATGAGATCTTGTTTAGTCAATTGCGTACTTATGACCAATTATGAAGCTTCGAGTGCTTATGCTATGGACATGTTCATAGTAAACGTTGTGTAAAATTCTCCTCTTGTGGTAAACCAAGCATTTTTATGGGCTACCCTCATGGTCGAAAGGGTATAAAATTTATGACTTAGAGAGAAAAGTGATATACTCCTCTCAAAATGTCTAATTTTTTAAAGATATCTTTCTCTATGTCTAATCCATAAAACATGCTAAACTTCTCTCTTCCTTATTATAACAACCCACTCACATAGATAGTGGCTCCAACTTACCTACCATAGCCCGGTTTGATTCTACTTGGGTTATACATAATTGATCGACACCATTCGGCCCATCGGTGCCTCATCGACCTATGACATCTTCTTTCATTGATGGGTTCTTATCATCTAGACATCATGTACTCGTGTGACATGTCCCCCTTGATCTTATCACCTTCAAATAACCCAACACTATCAACAACATTAGTTTAGCTTCGTTAGCAATCACGGTATACTTTCTTTTTCTAGACTCGTAATTCGGGGTCAAATTAATCGGTCATTGTCATCTTCTTCAACTAGAAGTTCAGCTTGCGTTCATCATTTGCCTAAGCACTTATTTAGTTTTGATTATGCTTTGCCATCTTCCCTACCACCTCCATCCATTATGCACTCCCCTCACCTTTTGGCTCACTTAACGATACATTCTTTATCATATAATATTTTTTATTTCAAATTTTATAACGTTCATAATGCCTACCTAATAGCTATCTCTTCTCCGGATGAGCCCATATCCTCTTCACATGATGTATAACATGAGCACTAGCAAGTCGTTATGGGCAAAGAGATTTCTACTCTATAAGCTAATCACAATTTGACACTTGTACCTCTACCTTTTGGGAAACATGTTGTTGGTTCCAAATGGGTCTATAAATTAAATTTCACATAGATGGTTCTATAGAGCAATACAAAGTTTTTCTTATGGTAAAAGGATACACTCGGATTGAAGGTGTTGATTTTCATGAGACATTTGAACTCGTTGCCAAACTAGTAACGGTTCATTGTCTTTTTGCCATTATCTCGATGCATAATTAGGAACTACATCGGTTGGATGTTAATAATGTATTTTTGCATGATGATTTTAAGAAAGAACTCTATATGAAAATTACTTAAGATTTTATAAACGGGGAAGTATCGTGCTTGTCACCTCTAAAAGTCTCTTTACGGTCTTCATCGGGTTTCTCACAATCGGTATCAAAAATTTACTCAATCTTTGACTTTCGTTGTTTTTCTCTAATCATTTGTTGATCACTCCTTGTTTACCTCTTTTCGACGTGGTTCATTTGTTGCTCTGTCATTTATGGTTATGATGTAATCATTACGGGCATTGATTCTACTAAAATCTAATGGCTTAAATAATATTTGGATACCAAGTTTCACATTAAAGAAATTAGTAAACTTAATTATTTTTTGGGTCTCGAGGTTGCTCGCTCTTTAGTCAAGATTGTCCTCGATCAATGCAAATATGTTCTTGATATCGTTAACAAGTGATCTTCCTAGTTGTAAGCCCACTTTCTTTCCTATGGATCAACAACATAAACTTGCTTTAGACTCGAGCAATATTTGTAAAGATCTTGGTAAATTATGCACGTTGAGCATCTACTCTATCTTACCATTACTCGTCCCGACATCGGTTATGTAGTTCACATTACGGTTAATTTATACATCATTCGAAAGAGCATAACTTTGATATCACTATTTGAGTATTTTGTTATCTTAAAACTACTCCCGAGCGAGAGCGTTTTATTTCCTTCCAATAGCTCCTTATCATTACAAGGTTATTGTGATGCTGATTGGGCGAGGTGCCTCACCATTCGTTGCTTCATTACTAGCTAAATTACCTTTTTTGGATCTTCTTCCAATTCTTAGCGAGATCAAGAAATAGTATGTTGTTTCCCTTTCTTTCGCTAAAGCTGAATATAGGGTCATGGCCACCACTCGCTAGTGAGATCGTATGGCTCCGTTGTTTCCTATTTAATTTAGATATTCCTCATCCTAATCCTTTTTTCTTATTTTATGATAATCAAGTAGCACTTTATATAGTCATTAATCCTGTTTTTTCATGAATGGATAAAGCATATTGAGATCGATTGTCACTTTATTCATTAGCACATTCAATCAAAAATTTTATTTCCATAATTGATTTCTTCTAAGCATCGGTTAGCTAGCATCTTCACCAAAACTATAGGCCGATCAGTTTTGGTTTCTATTAGCCAAGTTGGGCATTTCCAATCTTCATGCTCAAACTTAAGGGGGAGTAAACAAGTTTATTTTAGGAATATCTAGATTATAATCCCTCTATTTATTATGTAAAATCTCTTCATTATTAGGTCGTGTACAAATATAGAAGTTAGATCAATAATAGGGATAGTTGACCTTAAATTTTAGCTACCATTCTTATAGATTTTAATCTTTATGTAATATATTTAAATCTTGTACCTACTTAACATCAAAACACATAGTAAATTTGTCTCATATAAGCTTGTCATGGCTGCCCGGAATAGACAAGGGAGGAGCTTGAATGGCATGCACGGGATCAACCCCCACTAACAAGTCAAGCATAGATAAATCCTAAGTCAAAGAGTTTGCAACAATATCACTAACCTTAAAATCACGAGCATAATTAGGAATTTGCTAAACACGATCATAGATACACCTCCCATCTAACCAATAATCAAACCAAATGAAAATACTACAATCACATATACACCCATCATCTAACGAATGATCAAACCGAAAGAAAATATCGTTACCATCACCCATACACCATCTATATGAGTCTTTAAGAAAGATTAAACCTTTAATGATATGTTTCTAAGTATTAGAAGAATAAATTATATAACTACAATTGAGAATATACCTACCTTATAAATATTTATGCTTGACTAATCGAGCTCAAACTTTGCTACAATCATTCAAGATTTTCTAACTAAGTTTACCAATCATAGCTATATTATTCTCACGAACTTGTCAAATATCCAACAACCACACTCTTTTAGGACATAACAACCTCATCGCATAGAAGATCAACACCCATTTTCTATGGATTAGAACCCCAAAGAAATCCATAAGTTAGATGATCAACCTCATCACAAACCATACGAGAAAGTATGTAGTTTGCATCACATGATTCAGAATAGTAGTAAAAGTATTATAAACAAGAGTAGCATGAACAACACGGTTTAAGATTTTTCCTTTCCATCTAGGCGAGCAAAGGTCTTCCTTGTAATCCTCTATGTACGTAAATGAACACCCATATATTTACCTATATCCTTGGTAAAGGATATATTCGACAATCTTCTCAAATGATCATTTTGACGTTCACATATATAAAGGCTAATATAACCCTTAGATTTATTTGTATTTACTAGTATTCTTGAAGCATTATTCACGAGTCTTGAACTAAACAAGTCTTTTCCATAATATCTCACTAGCCACCATTTAGGCACTAACATACACGATCGAACGAACCCAAGCTTGGCCATCAAATCCTTGAACATAAAGAAAAAGAAAAAGGCATCGACGGTGCTCATTTAAACCATTGTAACAAACTAAGATTTCTATAAAGCCTATATACCACTAGAGAGCCCGAGTAGCATCCACTATATCAAAAGAACCAAACAAGCAAAGAATTCGAAACCTCTAGAGCTCTTTATTCCAAGAAATAACATTGCATTTAAACATAAAATAAATAATAAAGAGGAAAATAAACCATAACAAACCGAAAAATCATTGAGCGACATCCTCCATAGTAGGAATAACACCACTAACTGTTTCCATACAAGTAGTTGGAATGTATTCACCATTCTTCGACTAGAATTATGGCTTCCAAAAATGCACCCATAGTAATAAAATTTGAGAGATTACTTGGATGAAGACGAGATCAAAAAACTCCATATATCAAATGGTAGAGGAGATGATGAATTTTTTGCCATAACCATAGAAAGTTCTTAGTGGAAGCTCTCTACATTATAAAAAGCCTATTGAAATTAGGCAGTTAAAATGGATGCCTTATTTACTAGTAAGTTGTTGATTTAGTGATAAATAAAATAGTCTTTAAATAAATTTTTTATCAATCTATAAAATTCTAATTTTAAAATCACATATATTGAGAATAGTTAAATCTTATTGTTTCTATTTTAAATATGATTGTTCTCATTTTTAAAATGTCAAATAAAAATATTTGGATAAAAAGAAAAAGAAAAAAAGGGACACTTGATTTGGGTCGTATGAAGATTCTAACACTAGGTCGGTAGAGTAGCTATACTTATTAAGAACCTTGGGTTGGGCCATAGAATTAATTTGGATACCAAAACAAAATTTTACCTTCTTACCAGACTGGGCTAAAATGGAACTAATCCTTTCTCCACAAGTAATTAGTGTATTTTTTATTCCCGATATTCCCTCTTACTTGTGTCCGTTATATTCCTACGACTTACAAAGCTTTATTATGATCAAAATCAAAAGAGGGGTATCAATTGTAAGTGTAGTTTTCTCATTCATATTTAAAGGTGCATAACCGTTACTCATAAAATTCCTTGTAGCTATGAAAATTGCACCCTCATTTTTTGGTCTTGTAGCCATAATCTAATCCCTAAATTTATGATCATCCCCGTAAATATCATCTTGCATACTCTTTCCATAATCGGAACTTCCTTTTTGTACAAAAAAGGACCTCCAATTGTGGAATACCGAGTAATCGAGATGGTAAAAGCATCAAACATTTTAGCCTTTTCCATAACATACAAGGGACAACCATATTTTTTATGGCTAAAAACACCACACACATGGTATAAATTGACTATTAGCTCCTTATAGACTATTTCGTACTCCTCCACATCAAAACCAATGATTCCAAATTTCTAACTAACGATTTGCTCAAGTCGATCTCAACACGGACTCGAGCAAGTTGTCCTCTTATCACTTGAGAAGCATTAAGGTCCACCTTAACGAGTTTTCCTATACCTCCAACCATAGCTCGAAGAACATCATCATTGTAATACATCATAAAAATCTTTGGAAATCAAACCTAAGATAAGATTTTATCAAACGTTGTGTCAAAAGGCTTAAAATCTAAGGTTTGTTGTCTAACTATAAGAAAATGCCCTTGAATCATCCACGAACCCTCACAAAGAACGAGTATTTAGATCCTCATCAATTTTAAAATGGATCTAGAAAAATTCTAAACCTAAGTCAAGAAAATCCAATTCATTCAATTTCTACAACTAATGTGCTTGTTGAATATAAAACTTTAGATCCAATAGATTTACCCAAGACTTTGACTATGATAGCTCACTCCCACCTATAGTTCCATAAGAAGAGCTTTAAGACTATGCTCAATAGAAAAATCGATCTTAAAAGCACCATCTTTAAAGGACATTGACATAGCGTTGGAAGCGATAAGTTTTACATGCTCTTTTAGAGGCAATTTGCTTCTTTGCTCAATTTTACTTATAAGTTTTGACTTGAAGGAAAGAATATTCATATATTCTCTATTTCCATCATTCCGAATTGGTGTAGTCGAGTTAACGATTTTGAATTATTCATCATAAAGTTATTATGAAGGTCATAATCTAGAGGTTTATTGGTTGATAAGAGTTTTTTTTTTCAAAGTTTCTAAGGTTTTTTTAGTGAAGGATCTCTCTCATATGTTTTTTTTAGAAAAGCAATATACGGATCTAGAAGGTCACATGATGAGGTTGTGATCCGCATATTAAAATTAATGATGAGATGACTTCTAATCCGGATCGATCATGAGGTTGTTACGGTTTGTTTTATGTTGAATCGTCGGTAGGTGCTTGTAAAACAAAGTTCTCCTCTAATATTTGGAGGACTCTCCGATGGCTAGGTTAAATTACAAAGAAAGGTGTTTAGACTGAATGGGCTTTATGAAAACTAAGTCATAAATGTATAAAATATTTGATAATATATCTGTTTTTAGTTTAAAAGATAGAACTTGTAACATTTAGTGTGTTAACCTTTATGTAGGTAGGGATGTGATCAACTTGTATAAAGGGGAGAATAGATTATTTTATTTCCTTATACTTAACAACTCCTCATCTCCACTTAAGATTTTAAAATCCTTTTAGGCAATGATCGTTGTCTAATAATGTATGTGTAGTTATGTTTGATGATGATGTGATAGACACATTTTACAAAGTCACATCTTCATTAAATGCATATTATTACTTTTTTCAACAAATGGATGAAAGTGTACCTTTTTTGTTCAAGTCACTCTTCTATATTGATTGTCCAAGTTTTGTCCTATTATGATGCCTTTGGCGACTAGTCGGGATTATCCTATTCAAGATAAATTGCTAGTTAGATGTTCTTTAAGTAGAACAAGAATACATGTGTTATGATCATGATCATATAGGTATATTAGTAGCCCTCATAAGTTTATTGTAAGTATACTTTGTTGGTATATTTTTTAATAAAATATTAAAAGTTATATTAATGGTTAATAAAAATAATTAAAGCATATGCTTGCTAGGAATAACATACTTGGCGAAGGCTCAATTTACGTTTAGGCTTCTTAAGGAGACATTGGACAATGTTTGAGACAATCGATAGTGCTTTACTTGTCTTTTTCATACTTAATCTTAATGGGTGTACATGGAAGGCTTATTTAATATTTGTAATTTTGATAAACATATAGACACTTGAAAAAACTAAACACTCATATGTAAGAGCATTTGAGAAAATTGAAAAGTTTGAGCCCTTTTGAGGATTTTTTATTTATTAAATGACATCTACTTTTAGCTCCTTTATAGGACTAATGGTGATACGTGATTAGTCCATGTTAGGTTAGACTCGTCTACTAAACTTGGTCTTTAAAGTATTCAATATGAAAATTTTGAGCTCTTTTTCCAATAAATAGGTGATGACATCCTTGTCTTCTTACTTTTTATTGATTTTTCTTTTATTGTTATTAGCTTTTAGAGAGTTGGTGAGGATTATCAATAGTTAGTGACTATTTAGAGCTTTTTAGAGAGACATTTTTGGCAAGCTTTTCTTCTTAATCGTGAGAAATTTTGACAAACTTCTATCGTAAGAAATTTTGACTAACTTAGGCAATCTGGTTTGTTATAGTGAGTTTTTTTCTTACTGATTCATGTGACCTCCTATAAGCACATCCTTTTTCCTTTTTCATCTTATGTTTGATTGAAAATGATGGATTTAGAAAAGATGAGAGGTGTGTATAGGGTTGTTTCCAATTGAAAATGAGCAAATCTTAATGTAAATGTTGCTCTTCCTTTTAGTGGTGCACAAGAGTTTGTATTTTCCTCTCGTGAAAGGAGGGTTTGGTGGAGTTTATAAAAAAAAAATTGCCTTTTTTCTCATTATTTAGAATGGAAATACCTCATAGTTATCCCTAACCAAAATGATAGGATAAAGATGTCTACATTTGAAGCTATGAAGGAAAACATTAAGATAGTTATTCTCACTTGTATGATTGAGTATAATTATAGTTTCCTCTACCCAAGTCTATGGTAGAGTTTTTTCAACATTTTGAAATAATGTTTGCTAACTTCTTCGAATGGGTGGGCTATTCTGATCGCTTTTGATAATTTTTATTAGTGATTTAGTGTCAAACCATCATTGAGACTTTTTTTTTTTTTTGTATTCTTTTTTCTTGATAAAGAGTGCTAGAAAGAGAGGAGGGATTTTTTATTTATATACCTTGCTTGCAAGGGAGACAACTCTTTTAAATAGGGTGCTTGTAGAGATTACATTCCGGGTTGGTGACTAGAGAAAGAAGTGATTTATAGTTAGGTATAATGGGTCTCCACCCACAAATAGAGGTTAGTCAATTTAGAGATACATTTCTCTATGAGAAGGCTTAGAAGCTATTGTAATGCCATCCTTATCCATAATACAGATTTGGCTTTTTATGACCTAGTAAGAAGTAGGATGGTACGTATAAAGTCGGACTTCTTACAAAGAAATTATCATTAGTCCATAACATACAAGGTAGATATGTAACTTTAAGTATTTTTGTTTTTTCCTTTGAATTTTGATTTCTAAAGCATTTTATATTTTTATTGTTGATAAAGTGTCCGAAGAAGATTATGAGTAGATGAGTTTAGAATGGAGCATGTACGGCCTCATAAGAGAGTGATTCTAAACGAAAATATTAGGGGTGTTGGATCGCTTATTCGATTTACGACCTACTATTAGGAGAAATATAAGTCTTGGTAGGGTCTAAGCTCGTATGAATAAAAAGAGGACTAATTCTTTCCTTCACAAGTCGGGCATTTCATCAACATAAGATTAAGAGTCTTTATCCACCTCCGATCTTATGATCCAAGACACTTCTCCCTCCATCAAGGTTCTATTTTTTCTTTAGTTATTATCCAGCAGCCTAGTATAGAGGGCTCCTCTCCATCTAAAGGGAGTGGTTCAACCTTAAGGCTCCTAATTAAAGAGACTATTATGGGTTCTTCGATCACTTTAGACTTTTTAGTGCTATGGGTCCGTCTATTGCTTTGAGACTAAGGTTTACTCCTCCTCCTTTAAAGGAGTCTTGTTCAAAGAAGGATGTTTTTGGAGATTACTCTACCCAGTGGTGTAGGAAAATAGAGGAGGTTGTTCATTTGCTTGAACAATTTCATTACTTCTTAGAGATTTGTAAATTTTGAAGGGTGTTCATTGGTAAGCAACATAAAAGGAAGATACAACTAAATTTGGCTATAAGTACTTCCTAGCTCCATCTTTTTCTGATTAGTTTACTTTTTTAGAAATCAATTCAAGGTTTTATGTCATAACCTTAGAGAGAAAGAGAAAGGTGGCATGTTTAAGGGAGAGAAAACTCTTTTCTCCATTTTTTCTTATTTTGCCATGTGTTTGCTTTTGGTTACCTTTGATGTCGCCTATCTTTCCTTTATTTATATATAGGGCAATAACTTCTCCTTGTAGGAGAAGGAGATGTTACCTATGTGAGTTTTGTCTAACCTTATCTTTGTAAATCCTAAATCTTATTCAATAAGAGTTAAGTTCATCTTTCCATCAAAATATCTTACGAGCTTTTAAATTAAGCCTATTAGCCCAAACTCTTTTGTCTTAATTAATTACCAATTAATTTAGACCATTCAAATAAAATGGGTCATATATTTTAGGAGGACTATATTATGAATCAATTTTCTAAATTATTCGTAAACTTAAATTAGGAAAATAATTTCCTTTTAGTCAACTATTTTTCAAATTTAGAACTAACTTTCAAATTAGGAAACTAATTTCTAAAATAGAAAACTAACATTCCAAAATATAAAACTTTTCATTTTAAGAAATTGTTTTTAAAATAGGAAACTTTCCAAGACAAGAAATCTTTTTTTAAAATCTTTGCTTCTCTTTTATCGTGTGAATGTTTAAATTTATGCTCGTGATAAATAGGTTCTTAGTTATGTTGGTAATTTATCAAGAATAAAAGACATTTTTTATCTTTTGATACATAAATCAAGATTGGCTTCTAATAGGACATCATGACTACCCAATTCTCTATGAGAACTAATTAATCCATAATTACCTTTCACGAGTATGGTTATCATAAAATTCAATCCTCATGTCAATTTATTATAGTGTGATCTTGAACTTTGTTTATAGTATGTTTCATTATGATCACATAAGTTTTTTTCAATTTCTAAATGTCTTAGCTCTAAAGTAAACCAACTATGCTCTATTGGTATACTCCCATTGTGGCCACAAATTTCTTGAGTAGACATTTATCGAAATGCAATGTGATAACTCTTTTAGTATACAAGGAATGATATGTCATATCTTGGTCATTCATCTATCTCCATTAGATTCCTAGTGTACCCAATGGATCGCCCACATACAACTCTTAAATGAATTCATCGAAACGAGTGTCAAAGTACATAAATCCTCTAATAAGATAACCATAATGATTTCAAGTCAAAGGACTAGTTGTACCCATCTTATGTGAGATTTCTATAGACTAAACCAAATGGGTTCTCATGATAAGTCATGTCTAATGATATGTTCTCTAACATTAAT